GAAAGGCAGACCAAATCCGCGTCTCAGCTTGGTCTGAGTATGTGAGTTACTGGCAGAGGAAACCGCCAGTGGTGGGGGTGGGTCTTGGCCACTCGGTTAAGCCCCCACCTCCATTCACCCATATGTATGTGGGCAAACTGTGAGCGCCCCTATTCCTGACACCAAAGAAAAAAAATAAGATCTGAACCACCCAAAATCGGCAAAGCACACCGTGCACCTATTTTTTTTTACACACCCAAATGTTCCTGCAGAGTGTTTCCACAGTGTCTCTGAGGCCCCTATTTAGTCCCGCCGCTTTGTCTAGCCCAGGATGTGGGCTCAGGCCTCCGAGTCTGGCTGGCAGATTTAAAGGTATGCGATTTCCTGCCTCCACTCCAAATTCCACAGACTATAAGCCTTCAAGCCTTTAAACTATTCCTATCTCTGTGGGTCTGAATTTTGGAGCTCTGTCTTGCCTAGAATTCTGAGTTATTGCTGACAGTGACCTTCACTATGCCTTCATCCTAGCCACCAGCAAGCCCTGCCCTCCCTGCTTCTTCAGTAAGTCTGTAATGTCCTTACTCTGTTTCAGGCCTTTCTGAGATCTGCTACTTGTTGAAATGCTGTGGAGTGGATTATGACCCACAGCGACCCAGTATAGGGTTTCCAGTAGCAGCTGTTGAGCTAGAACCACAGTTCCTGCACTTCAAAAGGCTTTGCAGTCTGGCGGATTAAACCACAGCAGGGGTACTTTGTTACTGGTGTTAAGCTGCTACTCAAGGGCGTCTCACCCTGGGCTGGCCCAAACCTTGATGCTTTGATGGGCGGGCCTGAGGCTAGGAGGTTGGGCAGAGGGCTGGCCTAGGCCGAAGAAGTGGGGGAATGGGCTTGGTGCTTGCAGGCAGATGGGGTCTATTTTTGATGATGTCTAAAATGCCTCTCTTTGTCTCCCTGTGCCTTGAGCCCCCCAATTTGCCCTATATACACGCCGGTAATGCCTAATGTGGCAATGAGGACCCCCCTGGAATGGACTATGTTGGTTCCTGTGGCCCTGCTAGCTCTCTGAGAGCGTCGTCCTTTGAATGGGTCTGCTCAAGCCCTGCTAAGTTCTGCAGTGGGCGGGGCCGTCCCCGGGGTAGGAGCCGGGAGCAGGCGGGTGGAAGTTCAAAATGCTCATAACTCCTCAATAATTTGATCCTTCAAAAAAACAAGTTCATAAAGTTGAAGTCTAATGTTTTATGTTAGCCCAAAAGCTGTCTGTCTACCAGGCGGGGGCCCCAATTTGTGATACCGCCCCCGACTTTCTCCTGAGCCTGCGTACCTGTGCTGCCCAGTCAGGGAAGCGCTAGAAGTCAGGGGGATA